CAACGAATAATGTGATTTCAAACTTTTTTGAAGCCTGAAACTCCTTTTTACTGCCAGAAAACTGTGGAATGTAATTCTAAAAATTATCTTGTAATCTAGAGTACAGACAACACAATCTCAGACTTGATATGGTGATTTCTACACAACTTTTACACATTTTTGGTACAAACGTTCCGTTATCACTTCAACAAGTTTCATCTCTTTAATCCTAATCGTTTAGGAGAAATCAATATTTTAATTAATATAATAATAGTTAATAGTTAAAGTATTTCAACTAATATTATACAATATAAACTTTATCTTGACGGATAGTTTCCTAGAAGACAGATACAAAAGATTATTGATTGAACCATGAATACCAATCAAAATAATAAACACGTTAATTGACGTATAAATACAATGGAAGGTTGTTCCAGTATACACGCGGTTAGTATTAAAACATGTTTGCATCGTCCCTTGCGTGTACAATATAAGCTCACCCTCAGCTTTGTGGTCAGGTATTTAGTCGTGGATTAGAGTTTGCTAACTCTTCCCTGCTCGACGTTCACCGAGATTACTTTATGTATTACGGAAACATGCCACAAGGGAATGTAGAAGTGGAGAAGAAAGCAACAATCAAAAATAAAATGAAAATTAAATACAAGTTCTATTGCTTGAGATATTATCTAGAGAGTTATGACAAATTGTGGAAAGAATTGGGGTATTCAAGAAGGAAGGGAAAGGTATTTGGGGAAATTTTTCCATCGTAATCGTAAAGATAAAACGTACAAATAAAGCGTACAAATAAAGCGTAATAATAAAGCGTAATAATAAAGCGTAAGAATAAAGCGTAAAATATAGTAGAGCATTTATTTGAATCCGCACGGGATGAAGTTTTTAACTCGGGACCACGTTAACTTCTTTGTTTGTTGCTTTCTCTGTCCCATCCAAGCCACAACACAGTTAGGGTGGTAGAGGGAAAATACTAAAATGCATCCAAACGGCTTTTCCAGGGACGTAATAAGTGAACAACGACGACGACGAAGACGCCGTGTTTTTATTTTCGCGCAACGAACGTAATTTGTGCTCTCCGAAACTGGGACAAGACCTGGGGCCTTAGCGTCGGGCGCCACTTTGAGTGGAAAACATATTATTATCTCGGGTAGTAAGGAGAGCAAAGTTTGTTTTTTACTCAATATCTGTGTAATTTTCATAATTTTCAGGAAAGTTTTAATCAAGTATGATTTTAAAAGTTTCGATCGATAAGAATTTTGAGAGGATGTATGGTAATAATTCGGGGTAGTATTGTTTTAGGTGAAATACCGACCTGGTTCATAAATTGCACAACTACGACATTCGATGCTCCACATAAATCAATCAATGGAAAGGCTGCGAAGGCCCCTTTTGTTTTCCTGGGACTATTGAAATCTTATTTTTACCGAGCCATTAACCCCCCTTTCATATTTATCATTTTCATAGATGACGATTTATATCCTTGCTGACCTAGATGTTTATTTATAAACGATTTCCGGTTTTCACGGGGTTCGGATTTTCTATTATTTATTAGAGATATAAAATACACTGTATTGTTGATCGAAACCGTTTTAATATTTTTTTCTTTATGATTGATCGTCTAGCTATCAATTATTCATCTATTCATTGTTTTTAGGTTTTCAGGCGAGCTTTTTTGTTTTATTACCAAAAAATTTTGAATGAACGCGAAACATTAAAATTGTTATTAAAATTGCTAAATCACTAATGAATCGGTTGAAAAAATAATTCGTACGATTAATAATTTTGGAACATACAAAGTATTCAACTAGATATTCGATTATTGAGCGAATCCGGATTTTGTTCAACTCATAATGGATTTCGAATTCAATTCATTTTAATTATCCTTTTTTATACGCTAAATTTTAAAATGAAATTAAAAATTGATTTTACAATTTTTTTTTCTTTTTAGTAATTTATTCAAAGTTCTTATTACATTTAGACAAAGGGGGTCTCGTTAGTTGGCGATAATTGTTGTTGTGCCGGAGGCAAACGGGCAAAGCTAGCGTCTACGACAATGAAACTGGGCCCCTTTTGTTACCCGTTCCTCTAAACGTTCGTGGAATAGATAAGTGCGCGGAAGTTCATTTATATCATAAAATGGTAATGTATGCGTCTCGAGCTCGCAAAAGCTTATGTGAGTGAACCATACAAAGAACTCTCTCATAACAAATGCATGATTGTGTGAAATGAACGAACGAATAGAAGCAAAATGCATCTTTCGAAGCAAAACGTTACTTTTTCAGTCTCAAGATATCGCTTTTTATCGACATTTGATGTATTTATTAAAGCTTTTTTATGTTGTATTCATCGTTGATTTCATCATTGAATTTGACGGGACATCTATCCAAGAGAATTTTCAGACGCAGGCACGATACGCCATCGGGTTTCGCACAATGGTTATCGTTCGTGAAGTGTTATACCTCAACGTAGATATGAGGTGAGGGGTAAAGGGGAACGTTTTCTAGGAAATGCATTTGAGATATCGCCCCAACTGAGCCGTTTTACCGCTGGGACCCTATAGGTTTTCATATTTACCCACCTTTGCGCATTCATCCTATTTGCGCTCCGTCACACTGAAAGGATCAAAGTCAAAATTGTGCGCTGCTAAATATTCATCTCTCTTTCTCTTTCCAAGAAACGAGAATTTCAAGTTTATTCCTCAAACACTATCCGAATTAAATGTATCGAAAGAATTAAAGATTAAAGTAAAAATTTTAAGTCTTTGATATTGTTCGATTTTTATACTGAGAAGCCCTTATACGAACGGACAAAAAGGGACGAGTGAATTTTTCAAGCGTATCCAAAGTAGAGCGTTATATCTTTACGCCTCAGATGGTTTAAGCTCTCTCTCTGTATTCGTAGTTGCTGAGCCATAGAGGGAGCTGCTCTACACCGGGCAAGTGTAGCAGCAGTAACTGCAGTTAACTCGTTCGCTTTCCCGGATTGGTTTTTCAACCGGAAGCCGGACCGGAAGCGCCAGCCATGACCGTATTTACATTGCCCATGTTCGAGAATGGGACTAGGAGAGCTCGTCGAGTATGTGTCCTTTTGACGACGTTTCCGGTTCGCGTGTTAGGAGAAAAATTAAATACACGGCCAGTGACTTGTATTAGGTTCTCTTTTTATACACATAAAGCTAAAAGCTCTCTCGTTCTATTTCATTTTTAAAGAATTGAATTAAAAGAAATCATAAAATAATCCTCTTAACCAATCTATTTATTTTAAGAAGTAATGCCAAGCAAACTAAGTGGTCTTTAAATCTTCGGAAATGGCATCTTAGATGTAGGGTTGGGTAGTAGAGTGATCGAGTGTTTAACGTACAAAGTTGGGACGGAAATTACTACTTGATGGGAATCTGTAGCCTGTCAGAACTTTGGTCCAATTAATTTTATTATTTAATAAGGAACTTTGTCTTATGTACAAAGACACCGGGGGCGATACTAATTTATCTTATCTTTGACTCTATTTCAAATTCCAAATTTAAATTGAAAATTAGCGAACCGTGTCAATAACATAATTATTATAAAACAACGTTGTAATCGTATGAAGTAAATATGTTTATAAAGAGCACGCCAAAATTGATAACCAATGCTTGACATAAATACACAAAGTTTTAAATAAACAGGTCCAAACGCAAATACACTTTTTGAAATTTATAAAAATTGAAGCAAAAATAACAAACAAATCAATCAATAAGTAAACACTCAAAGCGACGCTGTACCGATTGTTATATGCATTGTTCAACAAAACAACGGTTTGTCACGTCTCTATGTAATATATACGTAGCCTGGTTAATATTTGAACACGAAATTCAACATTATTTCGGAAATTTTATTGGTTCATATCATTGTAGAAGTTTTTCATTTTTTAATTATTTTTTTTTAATCAATCTAACAATGACAAAGTTGATGATAAAATTTACTATAAAATACATTTTAAATCATGAATCACATCTTTGAAGTGTGGTGTTTTTAGCTTGATATGAAGCGATGAATTAAAAAATCATAATATCTAAATTTAAAATAATAAAGCAATAATTTTCAAGTCGTCAAATACTAATTAAATTTGCTTTAAAATGGTTTTAATTTCAAGATGATATCTAAATTCGTTCTTGACATTGCATTTTTATCAAGTTAACCTCGATGACAGCATAATCGAATTAAAATAATCGTATCACTGTAACTTATAGGAATGAAATAATTATTTTTGGTGTATTGAAACTAGATTAAATTTATTATAAAATGTTTTTTAAATAATCTTGATATGTCAATTACTGTTTGAGATATGGAGTTTTGAAATTTGGTATTAATAAACTTTACTTAGCCTAAGTGTAAAAGTGAATTAAATAAAAATCCTATTATCAGATAATTTTACTTCAAATATTTTTGGTTAAATTTTTGTATATTTTATTAAATTTTGTTTAACCCAAAAATGGTTGAAATAAAACGATAATGCTGGAGGTAGCTGCCCGGAATCGTGCTGGAATCGAGTTAGAATGGATCGATACCGTCGCTAGAGAACCAACGCGATCGGCATTTTGGAACGAGAGAAACCATACCTGCCGCACTTCTACAAAATATAATATCGGCGTTTATGGACGTAATGGCTTGTGTCACATTGCAGCTGTGCTGCACCAGGATATCCCACTGAGTCCTACCGTTATTATACGCATTATAAGCTCCAGGGAGAACTGCCCATATAAATATTAACCACACACCACTCGGTGAACACTAAAAATATAACGATCACACTTCCGGTTCCGCGATATTGGTACGTTTAAAACATTGCGTCATCAAATGTTACGATGTATTTTGTTTAAAGCAAAACAAATTATATAAAAAGTAAACGTGACGTTTTAAACATTACAATGTGTAAACCTTGTACGATATTGATTAAAACCGATACGAAATTGATAAGATATAATTTGTAATTTTTTATGAGTAACAAAACAATTTTGCAGTTTATTATCGGAATTGCAGCATTTTAAACAAAAATATTTAGCGTAACAAATTTAAATAGTTTTGGTGGGTAGGGTTTTTGTTATATTACGATGTTCGAGAAAGGTTTAAAAGAAAACTTTAACGCCGCGAATGTGAATCGACCAAACACACAAAATGGATACAAAACAATCGTCTCTACGACATTTTTGAATCTTGGAGTGCAAACTTTAATTGAACGTTACAATAAAATGAATTCAAACGATTCAAACCCACCGGAAAGACCTCCGAGGAAAAAGGGAAGTAAACGGTTAAAAATCTTAATTTCTACTTATATTAAAAATGGGCGTCTTAAAGAAATTGCCAACGAAGAAAATTACGAAAAGGAAAGGAATTTAAAGAGATGTGAAAGCAAAGTTAAGGATGATGGTGCAGGTTAGTTAATATATAGTTACTATATCTTGTCATATTTCAATTAGAAATTAGACGTTTCGCGTTTTTGATTAATATTTGGATTCACGTCTTAAAATTATTTTGTTAAATTAAATCTCGTTTAATTTCTTAAAAATTATTCGTACAATTTTAGCGTTTCAACTGCGTTCAGCCAAAGAAGAAAAAGTTTCTATGAGTGAGTATAAAATTTTAATTTTTATTTAACGATTAAATTATAATTCTTTAAGATCAAATTCAACCAAACATCGTCAAGAGACGAATAAACGAATACAACGAATTAGAAAGTTTAAATCGACAAGGAATTGATGAAACTGCTTTAAAAAATCATCCCAATTTTAATAAATTCACCAAATATTTTCCAATTGATTTAGAAACGTTTATAGGCGAAGATAAATCGTCAAACGATCAGAACTTATTAGGTAAGGTTACTTTGACCCGAGTTCTCAATTGGGCGTGTTGTAATTTATTACCAGACATTTTTCGTTATTTGGTTTGGTCGAAATTGGGATTTGAAAATAACTATTTCTTTTAATAGGAAATTTCGTGGAAGGTGGAATTATGTACGAAAGATACAAAAATGGCAGGAAAAAAGTAAGAAAAAAGATGCAATTATTAATATTTTAATTAAATTTTTTTTATTTAGAATCTCCAAAAAGATCAAACGCAGCAAGAACATCTTGAATTAGTCAAATTTTATCGAAATTTATTTTCAAAAATTACCCAAATCCCTTTTGTAATCGCAGTAACTTATTGTACGTTATTTTTTGTCATCGAACTTGTCTCTTTCTTTTACACGTTTTATTATAATTAATTAATTAATTTATTTGTTGAGTTTATTTAATAAAAATTTTCGAATGAATTTTCTTGGCATATTTTTATTTAAACTTACCTAGACCGAAGTTACATGGAAATTCAGCACGTTCCATCACTGGGAATACTCTATTTGACTCGGGTAATCGCGCTGAATGCCGCTCAGGGGGCCGCAAAGGGTGTTAACACAAGTTGAATTCGTAATAATCCGAGCGGAGTAGCTTGCTATAATTGGATAGATTTTCACCAAACCATCCCCATTTCAGAGACGAAAAGGGAATGTCGGGGGTCAAGCGACGTAGGTGTCAATATAAGTTTAATTACAACAGGACTCCACTTCGGTTTCGAATTGGGGCAAACTTGAACATTCCCTTAGTTTTAATCAATATCGAATTCTCCATTTGACGCGAATTGGAAATTGCAATCCTCCGAGAAAAATGTCTAAAAGGAAAACCTTAGAATATTATCTGTTTACCACACATTGGAGAGAACTTTGATGTCGGTTTCTGTGTGAGAGGAAACGCATGTGTTCGCAGCGATACGGTTTCACGTTTATATCAATGGCATTAAATAAAGCCATATCGAAATATATGCGCATACACACGCCATGTTTCGAGATACCACGGAAAAAGAAGTATTCAATTCAGTTTATCTTGCGTAAAATTGATATACTTTCTTTGTGAGAAAAGGTTCCCTTCTTTTTTTAAATTTATTACTTAGTTCAACATCAAATAACACCCATCAGAATCAGAATCGTTTTACACTAAGCAACGCAAAGCTAGGGGCTATACAGTAAGCGTAACTACAATCATCGTCGTGTAAACACAGAAACGTTAGGGTTAGGGTTTTGGGAGTATACAGACACCAAAAGGGTCCCTCGTTAAAATCTGCCGAGATAAACGGAATTTAATTCCGCTTCGACTATTATAATTATCCTCGTGGTCTCCGAAGAAGAATATTACCACGGCGACGACCCTCAGGTATGTAATCAACTCTCGGGGATTCACACGGTGGAAAAACCCTTTCATCTCTGACGGTTAGTTACAAGTACCGCCACGATTCTCCGCGACTTTTTTTTCTTTTAGTCAAGTTAAACTCGCTTTGTTTATGTTTGGTGAAGGCTTCGTCGAAGGAAATGAGAACTTGGAGGATTTTTAATTAAAAAACTTGGGGGGAAAACCCCGGAAACGTGTCGCTTTTGCTTCGTTTCGCCTCGTTGCGAACGCAATACATGTAGGTCGTAAGGTTTATTTTTTATAATATGCTTTTGATGTGAGTTTATATGTTGAATACATTCTTATTTTTTTTATTGTTATGAAATTTTTTTTCATTGATATGGGATGATATTAAAAATATACACCATTATATGAAGGTGTCTTTTTATGATACGCTTGGATTTATAGGAAGATGTAAATTCAAAATGTTCATAGAAAAATAGAGAATTCAGGTTGGGTTGGGTTGGGTTGGGTTCACATTTATTTCAAATGATACCATGTAAGATCTAATACTACTACAATCTGGAAAGCAGACACCCCTTTAAGAGGAAAATCTTCAGAATGATTGTAGGCTCAATATATAAGAATATAAAGATATAACCAGGAACTGTAGCTGCTGCAATAAGACAATGCTCTTAGTGTACATCGGGATCTAGTGATTGCAATGGGCAGAACATGTGGTCAGGATGAGTGAGAGGACGCGACGGATAGAGACTCCAGGGATATGTTTGGGTTCAGAAGCTAGAGGACAAAGGCCGTTCGCAGAGTGGCTTGGAGACAAAAAACAAAAAGAAATCGAACTTGCAAAACACATTTAATAAAAGAAAACAAATACAGAGTTAGAACTCAATAATTAGAAGTATAATAACCTATAGCTGTGAAGAATCGCCTATAAAGGATGAGACAGAAAGACTAAGCCATAAAATGGATAACTGAAGAAAAACTGCTGGAAAATCAAAACTGGATAGGATTATGATATTTGAGATGACATAAGAACTGCATAACCGCAAGGACAAAGAAAAAGAGGAGGAGTTGATGGAAAGTTGCAGATGAGAGAACTTGTAAGGATTTTTGTGGCTTCATTCATGATTCTTACAACGTCTTAATTTAAATTTCAATTCTTCAATCGTAATTTACACCATATTTAGTGTAATTGATAAAAATTTTATGATTTCAAACCATTTTTTGAAAAAGTTATGAATTCCTATAACTTTAAAATCTCGAATTTTAGTTGATTTTCGATGTTTCATTTTTCCCACCCACAACATTTTTATTTCAATCGTTGAAACAAATTCGAATTTTTTATTTGAATCTACATTCTTTTTAGTACAACTCATAAAAGTTTTATGATTCCAATTTTGTTTATAAAAAAGTTATAAATTTTTTATAACCTTAAAAACCTTCATTTTTGGCGATTTTAGATCTAATCACCAAAAACTTGTCCATCACAAATTTAATAACAATTTCGTAGTTTATATTGGAATCTGAATACTTTTTAACATAATCCCTAAAAATTTCGTGATTCCAAAACAATTTTTGAAGAAGCTATTCCTAAAACTTTAAAAACTCAAATTTTGATTTATGTATATGTACTTTACCAACAACTTTTTTATTTTAATCTCTGATCCAATATTATATTGTTTTAAAGAATCATTTTTATTCGAAATTAGTTTTAATTAATAACCACAAAAAATATGATTTTAGTTGTAATTTAATTTTAATTTCAAAATGATTCTAGCTTTATAATTCGTTCTCACAAACATCCGGACGTTTAATTTCAAACACCAACACGCTAACACGTAATCCGAACAGTAAACGGCCAACACTAACGGGAAATGTGAGTCGAGTCAATTGGTCGAATCCCTGGAACCGTCCGAGGGCTCCTTAAAATTCTTCTGTCGTAGTCCGCAAACGAAGATTAATTAACGCCTAATTCAATTTGAACGGGGTCGGAAGTCGGACCTTTCCTCTAATCTACAGCGGGTGGCGTTTTCGGAACGATAGCGAGTTTCAACAAGCGAGAAGGGAGACTTTACTGTACGCCCTCGGTTTTAAATATCCGTTATCTGCAGACATTGTTGCCAACTGCGAAGCCATTATCGGTGCATTCCTCCAAATGGGCTCAAATGGACCGCTTTCGAGACCGTCGTCGTTTCCCGGTGAATTAAAAACTACTTAGAAACGTTTTTAGTTGATTACCGTGTTTGTTATGGCTTAATGGATACTATAAGTATTAAGTTTAAGCTTACATTTTTGTTTGATTTTAAAACAAGTAAATGTATTAACGTTTGTGTCAGTTATTAATCGGATTTCTCCAATTAAATTTACGTAGGTATATTCCATGTTCTAAATGCAGATTTCGATAGAGCACGTTGCTATTGATGTTTGTAAATTCCATGTAAACCCCAGCTTTGAAACAGTCTCTATATTCTATTACCTAGAATTGGAATGCCAGATATTATATAGTATGTTTAATCAATATGTAAAGTAGGAAATCGTTTGTGCCCACACGCCACCATAAAATGAAAATTATTGTTTTGGTTTTATTTTTAACGAATTCCTTTCAGGCTTTTTCTAAGATTGTGGTCCCAGAAGTATTAAAATAAGTGGTTGCAAGAGGTTGGTTTCGAAATGGGTCCGAGTTGATCGTGAGGGCAGAATTTGCGAGGTAGTTGTACCCGCCCCCGTTCGTAAAATATATAGATTCGTCGAAACGCAAGAATAGTTGCCCTATAGGGAGCATAGTTCCTGGCGCGCATTTTTGTTTTTCCAATTTGTTACCCCTCGGATTCCCTATATGTACGTTAAAACGAACGTTGAAAACGAAAAAGGGATATTAATGGTACGCTTGTGGCTACCTTCCGATAATAGCCACACGAATCCCTAAGGATGTTACGCGTCCGGATTTTGTAAAACGAACTAAAACACTATTTGAATTGTGATAAATCAAGGATTTACATTTATATATGGTTGTACTATAAATATGATTCCAATAACATGTTTAAATGCATGCAAAATCTCCATTATATCAAATACGTTAGAAAAGTCGTTTATTATAAACGACTCGCACCGAATAGTAGTAGCAATTTTCCGCTTTTCTCAATCTAAAATCACAAAACACTTCGCGTGCAATCCAAATCAAGATAAACGGTTTTTTTCGTGGAGAAAAATATACTTTAAGTGCATGCTTTTTATCGAAGATCTAAATTAAAATGGTAATATTAAAGCGAATTGTACATTTAAATTTTATCGGTATTATCAAAGTTGTAATTAGGAAACAAAAAAGATACAACATGTTAAACACAAATTATCTAACGAATAATTTTCGCGACAATTTATACCCTCAATATTCACCTTTATAACGCATTACCAACCTATATATTGGCAATAAACATTCTCGACAGTTACATTAGCCTTTTATAACTGAGTGATAAAGTGTAACGAATAGGTAGGCAGTAAAAACCGACGTCGTTAAAATGTCCATCAACTATTACGAGGGGCCAATAACAATGAACCTGTGAATGTATTTCTACAAAGGGTGATGTGCTCTTAGTAGTTTCTACACACTTAGAAAGGTTTTTACGCCGTTCCAATAGTTATCACCTGTAATTAATAGGATTTCGAGGAGAAAATAAGAGAACACTAAATTTTTATGGTCTTCTAACAAAATGGTCGTTTTTAAAATTATTTAATTAAAATAACTGGGTAGAACGAAAAAAGGTGCTTATTAACCTTTACTCCTTATTTCCCCGAATAGAATGACTCTTCAACAATTTGAACCGACACTCAAAGAGAATTACAAAAAGTAAATTAATAAATGCGGTGTCGTTTAAGTTTTATTAAGTTACTCGAGGTCGCAGAGTTCACTCTGTTATTATTCTTAATTTAAAAATATGTCGCTTTCAGATAGGAATGTAACCTTTATAATTCTAAGTGGGAAATTATAACACAAGATATACAACAAAGTCGATTATTAATTTAGTATAATAATAATAAAACTCCATTAACCTGTGGATACATTGTAATATTTGCGGTACAATTTCAGAGGTGGTCACTAATGACTGTCGGGTTTCACATGAATAATACTATACTATTTACTTCCGGTCGAAACCAAACTAATTAGTGCCAGGATCCCGATTAATATTCGCTGGATAGACAATACTATGTATATATATGCAGAGTATTAACCAATTAATTGTAATAGAAAGCCGTTTGATCAAAGATATTAAAAAGAAGCTTTGTATTTTATTAAATTAAAATAAACTAACCAATTAACTGTAGTAAAATCTGACAGTACAGGCTGATGATGGGGAGTAGCAACATTTTTGTTTAGTTTCTCATCAACACCAAAAAGCACCTTCCTAAACCACACCAAAAATCAACGTTAATTTAAATCAAAAAAAGTTTTAAAACAAACTTTCTCGGACACTTTTAGCACACATATCCAAAAAATCACTCTGAGTTCTTCTTCACCTTTAGTCTTTTAATCCAACAAAAATATATCCTCAAACATACATGCTACGATTCATTTTTTTATTTAATTTTTTTTGGATTAATTGGCATCGATGTTCGAAATATCCTCTGATAACCGGCGGTGCTGCGTCGCGACGTCGTCTTCATGGACAGAAGTGCGCGCGAATACTGGATACGACGCCTCGGACAAACGCTGAAGCTGCGCCGGCTCGTTCGCAGCATCTACGCAACCGATGGTACTCTACAGAACCGACGCCACTCCCACCAGCAGGATGTCAAAACTAAAAATCTTCTATAATCTTAATTAAAATTATAATCCATGTATAATATAATTAAAGAAAATAAGGAGTTTAATAGCTTTTTAGAAAAATCCATGGAATTGTGAACAAAAAGTTTTTCAAAAAATTCAAAACAGGATAATGCAGATACTATTACACAACATCTTGCTACTGAAAGAAATGCAACAAGATTTTGAGTGTTTTGGCAATATTTTCTGTATATACCAATATTTGTGCCAACGATCCACTTGCGTATCAAGTATTGACCGGAAATTATAAGCATAAAAACTTTTATAAATGATTCTAACATAATCAAGATAGACTTCGACACTCCACCTGGAACACATTGATAACACTAAAGCGTGTGTTACATCTCTGAACCTCCCCGCTTAAAACTGCGAGAGATTCATCGAACAGAGGTTATGTATAAAGAAATGATTGTTGAAGCGAAAAGGAATTTAGGGTTGGCGAGAAAACGCGAGAAGGGTGAAAGATTGAAAATACGATGTCGAGAGGGGCAATGAACGTGAGGGTACGGATGACAAGATGTTAGAGAAAAGAGGTGATAAAAATGAATAAATTGATGTGATATGAATGAAAGTGAAGAAATGAAGCAACCTAAGCATTAATGAATAGATGCAGGTAAGCTTCGCGATGGACGAAGCTTCCAGAAGCAAAGAAAGGGTGTTATCTGGATGGTATAGCTGTCACGGAGATTACTGCCGAAGTAAAGCTTCAAGTTTTGCTTGATCACATTATTCAACGTTTAATTAGCAGTAACACTGATTAAATACAGGCGCCCATTTGACCATGTTGTTCAAGTGGGATTGTGATGGCGCATCAGGACAAAGTACATACAAGCAAATGTATAGGACGGACATGGGAAATGGACCAAAATGATGATGCCTTCTTGTTCGTAATTCCATTAATTTCGCTGCAATTAAAACATAGTGAAGCAATATTTATACATTTCAAAGGTGTTATAACTGTGGTATAACACCTAAAGAAATGAATAACTTGGCTAAATACGCAACAACGCCTGCTGATGAAGGGACATTCGTTTTTGGGTTATCAAGTCTTCACGCGTGGATAAGATACTTCGAATGTTTGCGGCACATTGCCTACAGACTTGAAGTCCAAACCTGGCAAGTGAGAAAATGTTGACAAGCGAAACAGATTAATTCAAGATCGCTTTTACAAGGAAAGGGGCCTACTTGTGGATATTCCCAAACCAGGTTACGGAAAATAAAAAAAAAGAAAAAGTCATTTCAAGAGCAGGAATCTATCACTGTAGAGGAGAAGTGGAGAGATGAAGAATTGAGACTCATGCAGTAGTGATGAAGACTTTTAAAACATTTTTTATGAGTTGTTGAATATAATGAAGTCTAAAAAAGTTGTAGGAATATTAGGATATCATAGAAATGATGCTGACAACAACTTTTATCTCAAATTGGATGTAACATCAAATCTTGATCTATATATTATATGAATTTGGAATAGCATTCTAGAGTCTTATTATGATCAATTATATAGCTTATAAAGTTTTTTTTAATCTTAAATTTACTTTTGCTGTATGAATGATATCAAAAGTAATTCTGAAGTTTTTTAATCGATCTTACCGAAAAATAATTAGCTTGTAAATCTTTAACACGACATAATACTCAAGATACGTCAAGTGTTGATACTTGAAACACGAGAAGCAATAATCAATCAATCTCCTTTCACGCGGTGAGAGGAAGGAGTAAACCAATAAGGCTTCGACGTGATTTCCATTAAAGGTGAGGCGTGGTTGCGTAGGGCCCAACACCACGTATGATAAGACCTAGGTCCTTTTGAATAATGCATTAGGTACAAGCCGCAAAGCACCCCCGCTCTTAATACCGTAGCTGTGTCACATCGCACTTGCACTATATACCAACAATACCGCAGCAACACAAGCCTAACCTAAAACCGTTGAGTCCGCCCCCCTTATGTTTCTACTTGGTAGATCTGTGGAACGCTTTGATGTCGTTGAATATATATATATAGTATTACTGAAACGATATTTGTTTACGTCCTTACAGGGAGATAATGTTACTGTTCGAATTTGCAAAAACTTATTGGGTGTAAAAGAATAAAAACAAAGGCGGGAAAATAAATACGACGAAATTAAACGGACTTTTAAAACGAATGTTTCTTTATGCGCTCACCCTCCCGAAATAATAATAATAGCAACATTTCGCGTTGCGCCCGGCCAGCCTCATGACTGTAATTTTTCCGTTTTGAACAATAAGCCCGGCAGCGACCCCGACGGCGCGTATAAATAACCGTTGTCGTTGCTTTGGCGCGAAAATTAAATAAACTTTTCTCGCCCAACGTTGCGGACGCCGACGCCGTTACGGATACGGAAAGTTTTACATTTCGGAACTCTGCGTGGATATTAGTCGCATAAATTTCTGCGGCGGACGTAAATTTCCGCCTCACTTTTATTCAGCTCACCAAGTCGCATTTCATTTCTACGTATACCATTGAAAGTGTGTGAATTTCCTATTCTCAACTCTACAAATATATTAATCAGTGCATCGTTAAAATCAAGTCGCATTGAATCAATAACAATAGAACCTAGATATTAATAGTTCGATAGCTACCTGATTGATAATTTCGAGTGATAATTAACCAACTCTCGATATTGATATAACGGATAATTTCCGCTTTGTATTAGTGTAGATGGATAGAAGCTGAAGGATAGCTTGGTCGTCGTCTACCTGATTAACATCGAGCAGGCGGTCGCTTGTGACGCATTGCGTTCATGTCGCTGCAGAATGAATACAACATGGTATCAACATCTGAAGTGTACTCGGGAAACGGAGAACAAAAGCAAGGGGTTGTCGTTTCGATAAAGCAATACTAGTGGGCTCTGGTGGTGCAATTTCCGTACTCGAATGCCGAAAATGGACCAAAGTGGCTTCAAACAGGGTTCTGCGTTGGTGTTCCGATCTGTCAACGCCGCAACCCGAACCAATCTCAGTCGGGATGTCCACTCAAACTTAATAATCAAGTGAGCCGCCTGGTGCTCAGCCGGCTAGATATCCGACAAACCCAATTTTAATTATCTACCACTTACGTTGGCTGGATATCCGAGTACCACACGGTCGAGCTTGGGATGTCCGCGAAGAGGCGCTCCGCTCGCGTACTGACCATAAGGTCACGTGACCGACTGTCCGCGAGCGACCACTGCCCAAGTGTGTACGCGCATTTGCATTTAAATTGTACTTTCATTTGACGGCGATTTTAATTAGAGGGAACGAGTGGTAACATTCTGGTTTTTATTACCACCCAACACGAACATACGTTTTTCACGCGCACGGAAAACTTAAGGACCAAAAGAGGTTAGCTACACACGTCGCGCATACCAACTAGATTTTTTAAATTAAAAACTACTACGACGACGTAAATGTTATTTATTAAGTGGAACAGACCAAAATATTTAATTGTAAATGATACTTTTTCGACCCGTACGACGATGGCAACAAACCTCCCAGTAACAAACTTTTACCCATAATTTAGTTTTTCGCTATCTCTAATAATAAGGAATATATCAGCTAAGAAATTAGATAGAAAATTACAGGTAAAAGTTTGTTGCTGGGAGGTTTGTTGCCATCGTCCGATACAAGATTATTTAAGATATAGTTGGAAAATATATAAAAAATCCTTATTTTAAATTTAATCGACCTTGTATCGCATTAAAACTCAAAACCCCATAAAAATATTTAATCAAAAACAATCCCAAAGTTGGATGCTTAAAATTTCCGACATTGTTTCCCGGCGGTTCCGCGAAGAATACAAATTAATTTTCGTCGACGCCGCCGCCAACTCCGGGATCGATCCGGGTTCTACCGCTCCGGGATGTCATTTGTTTTCACATTATAACTTGTAATAAACTTACGTCGCGCGACGTTGTATTCGCGTATGTCTCGCCACAAACTTCGAGCGGAACGTTTCTCGAAAACAGCCGCTGATTTAATTAAATTCGAATAGTCAAGGAAGTGAACGAAAAATCAACCGGAGTTTTCGAGAAAACTATAACTATGATTGATTTACCACGAATAGGAGATTAAGGAGAAATTTCAATCCTACGGGATTTAAGTATAAAATATAAAGCTAAAAAAATTTAGCTTTAGTTCTATTTTCGAGTTAATACTCGATAAATATTAATGACATTTACAAAGACGTCGTTTGTAGGCGTCGCGACGCCCGGAAGAGATATGCAAATCGCTCGAAAATCAAAATGGTAATTCACCATCACGTCGAAATCCCTTGGTTCCCATTCTTTACACTCAATCACAACTATTAAGCTCCGGGATTTAATTACGCCTACGCATCAATTATAAGTTCTCCGACACGACCTCGCGTTAATCTGCACGCTGTTCTACACTTAAAATTAAACCAACTTCTCGTTTCTCCAACTAGTAGTTAAAGAATCCGGGCTTAATTAAAAACCAGGTAACGCGAAGATTTTTTAAATGTCCGTGGGGAAATGAGAATTCCATCTCAAAAACGTACACGCTTTTTATGTCTTTATACAAGAGTTAACATCCCAAAAAATTCCTACATCTTTATTAATCCAATTTTGTTATAAATTTATTATTACGTAGGTTTTTTATTGATATTTGTTATATATAATTTTAGCCCCAATAACAGCTTATAGCCGCCGTTACTTCGGTTATGTTTTATAAGATTACAAGGGCCAAGACCCTTTTGTGGACGGTGAAGGCGGAAAAGAGAAGAGACGGTAGCAGACTAGAGGCTGAACATCAAAAGACTGTTTTATGTACCGCAAAACAACGTAAGGCTTCGTCGGTATCCCAACCGGACCAAACACGACGGAGAAAGGCGAGGGAAGTATCTAAGTGTGA